GAAACATAGTGTTTTCTGCAGCAGGGCTCAGTGACACTTTCACTAGAAAAAGTTGCTGCATTTCATCTTTTCCTCATGAACAAAAACAATTACATGAACGGTTTTATTGATTTTTCTTTTTAATTCTTGTGAGCACAATGTGGTCATGAAGCAAGTCTGAGACTAGGAGATAAAAACCCTGGCGAGTCCCAACTGGTTACTTTGACCAGGAGTAGACAAGGTGGGGAGACCCAAATCTGTCCAATCACCACAGAGGACTGACCTCCCGTCAATGGAGCCGAGTGCTATCACACTTGTAAAGCCTTTGTAAAAAATTTGTGTTTAAAATCCATTTCGAATGGCTTTACTCCAACAGTGAAACTCGCAAGGGAGCAGGGCAGGCGTAATATCTTGATAGAGACTCACTATAGCACAGTTCTTACAATCTATGCTGAAAAGTCCTTCACTGGCACAATCCTCTTTGAATGAAGTCCCAAAGGACTGAATCCATATTAAAATCTCTAATATGAGAAGAATTACAGCAAGGTTACAATATAATTAACCCGAATTATCTTTCAAAACTCTTGCTGATATATATTCTTCAGACTATGCTCCTGCGGTGATTTTTAAAATCAGCAAAGAAGGAGGTTTTCATATTCATTCAAACTAAAAAGATAAAGGAATATTTGCATAAAAATAAAGAGTTGGTCAATTCTTTCTACTATTTTCTAACATTATTCTTATAACAGTTATTTGTGTTTTTTTTAATGGCTGCTCTGTATGGCAAAGCCTTATTCTGTCCACTTCCTAGAGTCTGCAGAAAAGTCTGTGATTCTTATTTAAGGATCATGGTGATTCCCTTCGCTGCTTGGAGGGAAAAAAAAAAGCAAAATCAGGGCTATTATCCTGTGTTTATAACAAGTCTATTACCATAGTAACGACTGTGATGTCACAAACCCTACACCAAGGGCCAGATTCTGTCTCTGAGGGGGGAAGGGCAGCTTAGCCCCGGAAATCGGACAAAATTGAACACAAACATGTGCAGCCAAAGCAAGGTCAATGCTTATGGTAATCACCAAAGCACAGGGAGCTCCCCTTCTCTGAAGAAAAGGGGGGCAGGAACAGAAAAGCAGTTCCCCGGGCCCAGAAGTAAGCTACACCCACACTTCTGCATGCAGCTGCACAAAAGGAAAGTGGAAATCCAAGCAAGTGTGGTATCACCGTGTTCCCAATCACAAGTATTCCACTGGGCCCACTGGCTGCCAAACATGGATGAGATCCAGGGGTGAGCCCGCCCGAGCACATGAAACACTCTGGAACTAGTGCCTGAGCAGATGGGAGCCCTCTAGTACCTCAGAGGAGAAACAACTTGTCTCATGATGGCAAGCACTTGAAAACTAAGCTGGGGTTTTACTCCTCCTAGGTCATCCTAGTTCACAGATGCCCAGGGTCAGAGAACTCATCAGGTCTCCCAAAAGATGTGGACCTTAAAAAATAATCTTTTGTGGGAACAAGTTGTACCCCCTGTCACTGGGGAATCTGAAGCAGCAGATTAATAAGGATTCTTATTCTGATACAGTCTAGGGAAATTTTGTACAAATATGCTGAAAAGGCAACTCTATATTAAAAAGAATATGGGATGAGAAGTCAGAAGACTTTAGTACTAGTCTTGGCTCAAGTACTTAGAAGCCACAGGACCTTGAGAAAGCCATTTAACCCATTTGAGCTTCAGTTCTTTATTTAATGGTATCTAACACGCTATTTCTCAAGGTCATTGTAAAGATCAAATCAAATAAAATAATGAATGTGAATGGGTTTCATAAACTGTAAAGAATTTAATATAAACATAAAGCATTATTATTAGTAGTATTTTCACAAAGCCAGTTTACAGTACAACAGGAATAATTTGAACACTAATATTTTCTTCCCAGGAATCCAAAGCATACATATGATCCTTGTCTTCCCTATCCCAAGAGGTGGACACTTGCATGATACAGTCAACTCTAAATTATTCAGGGGCTGATTATCGAGGGACCTTTTGTTTCTAGCCATTGTACCATTTATTAGTTTCCCTCAGGAATGCTATGTTCACCTACATAAGACTTGAAAATTGACAGTGAGTGTCCTTCAACTCGATTACCTTGAATAACAACTCTGGTAAAAAGGAAGAACTCTTCCAACTCTTACAAAAGGAAGAATTGAAATGATTAACTAGACAGAAGTTTTTGGATAATTCATGGACTTTATTTATCCATGGATAATTACTGACATCACTATGGTCAAGGTCAGACACATCGGGACTAATCCAGACAAGATACCAGCATTTTCTCAGTGAACAACAAAGTAGCCTGTCCTGTCTTATGTATGTGCAGTAGGAATTTGAATATCAGTCATCCATTCATTTATTCAACAAATATTGGTGGAGTACCTATTATGTGCCAGAGCTCACCACATATCCTGAATACCCCATGATTTTCCTGCCCTTGTCGCTGTCCCTTCCTTATGGTATTACACGGAGCACCTTGGCAAAGCTCACAGCCTGACTCTTAGACACTCTATTCACCTTCCTGCTATCATGAGACTTTTGCCAATCTTACCCTAGTACAAGGGTCAGCAAGCTACGGTCCCTGGGCCAAACCCTGGGTACTGCCTTTTTATCAGTACAGCTTTATTGGAACACAGCCACAGCCATTTGTCTACGTATTATCTATGGCTGCTTTCCTGCTACCACAGCAAATTTCAGTAGTTGTGATAGAGACAGTACAGCCCCAAAGCCTAAACTATTATCTGGCCCTTTCTAGAAAAACTTTACTGACCCCTGCATTAGATACTATAACTAAATCAAAGTTCATCTCTCCTGCAAGTTTCTGCTTAGGCACTAATAGAGTAAGCTCCTTGAAAGCAGAGAACCTTTCCATATCTTTGTCTTGTCATACAGAACCCTAGAGTAGGAGTGAGTCAAAGTTTAGAGCAGAAAACTGAACACGTCCTTCCCTACATTTTGTTTTCAACAGATGAGCGCTGTGGAGTTGCATGGAAGACAGCAGAAAACCACTGGCATTTGGTTACTCTGGCTTCTGATTCCTCAGAGTTCCTATGTCTAAGACTTCCAAGGCTCAATTTTTGCCCTGTCTCCCTTTGCATATTTATTTCCTGATCTGATGTGGAATTAGAGTTAAATAGGAGCTGTGTGCTTGAATTCCACGTGGCTGGCTGGGCAGGAAACTCCAGGGCAGGTTTTTTGGCATGCAAAATTCATGTTAGCCTCAGCTATGCTAATTTCTAAAGCTGTTTGCTTTGCTCAAATAAATCTTAGAGGGAAATTTGCATTTGGATGCACACCTTTTTATGCACAAATTATGTGCATGATAACTCTAGGGCAGGATAAGGACTGAAAAAAAGAAAAAGAGGCCCAGTGTTTACTGAATGGCTTCCCTGTGGCAGGTACTATGCTAGGTGCTTTACATATATTTTCTCATCTCATGGCCGCAACAATCCCATGAGGTAGAACTGTGATCCCCATTTTACAGATGGGGAAACTGAGGAGAAGAGAGCTTATGTAACGAGTCCACAGGCACAGAGCTGGTAAGTGACAAAGCCTAGATTTAAACCCAATCTGGCTGAATCTGAAGCCCATGTTCTTTTCACTTAGTCACACTGCTTTATTGACACCCTCATCCTTACCACTCACCTAAGCCATGGGACATACATTCAAACGGGAACCCCACATTTACAAAATTAGTCATCCCTCTTCTCTCCAGTCGCTCTATGCAAAATATGTCTTTGGCCCTTGGGAGATAAATTTAGGCCCCTCTGCATCACAAAACAATCAACCAAGGAGAATAGTGGCATTTGAAAGGCAAACTTTATATAATACACAAATTACGTTAGTAATTAGTAGACAACGCAATTCCAAGTGATTTTGACAGGGAAATGGATTTGAATGATATAGCTGAGAACCTTAGTATGAAATGACACTTTTATTGCTAAAATGTAGTAGGCCAAGCAAGAGAATATGCCCATACCATGAAGCAAAATGTTAGTAACACTTAGAATACAGTGTAAATATATCTATAACATAAGACTAGGAATTTATATCTATAAATATCTTCACTGTTTATGGAAACATAATCAAACATCTATCTTCTCTAAAAAAAATACAAGCATTACCTTTATTAAGTTACAGTAAGTACTGCTATCAAAACTCACTCTTTATCATTACTCAATTCAATATACAGAAAAATAACCCGTGTAGCAATGAAGCATTCTAGCATACTTCTAACACTTTAAAGCAGCCAGATATAATACTATTGAACTTCTTTCTCTGTGTGGAACATATCTGTAACATAGTTTGCAATATCACATCATGCTCAGCTCACTGCCATGTAGCTTAATACACTGCTATCTAATTTTCTGGAAATATAAAAGAACTGATTGCATTTTCATGCAAGTGAAATTCAGATTTCCATTTTTTTTAAGCTCTCAAACACAGCTTTCCAGGAATTAGAAAGAACTCTGTGGTGCAGATGGGTAATCTAGGTTGTTTCTTAAGTGGATTTCGAAGAAGTCACATTGAGGAACAAGTCTGCCTGCCACATACCCTTTATAAAACTTTCCTTTCCTCCAGAAAACTCACAGAGGAGACCTGGCCGTCACAACACCACCATCCAGTTCAACCATGGTTACTTTTTTCTTGCTAACCAGTCAGTATCTAATTTTTTAAATTAGTTCATCCTTTTTTATTTTAAACAGATGATTTCAGAGAAGGAAAATAACTTTTTTGTAGCTTGTGGTAGGAAAAGTTTATTGTCAGTTGAAAGTTTACAGACTAAGCAGCAGGTTGCGGAATTCACTTAATATAGCAATACTATTTAAATAATACATGCACTAACATTTCTTATCTACAAAATTCCTAAAATAGTCTTTTCCAAAATTAACCAGAGCACTTAATAATTATTCATAAGATAGTTAAAACAACTTTCTATGAATCCTTATCATTGGAAACCCCAGTAGTGACTTACCTGCTGGTGGCTTTATGAAAGGTGGCGGAATTAAAGGTACAATAATGGGCACATTGCCATGATCCTTTGACCCTGCAGGTGAGTCACTGAGTCCATTTCCTGTGGCAAGCCCTGAATAGCCTGTGCTTATATTGTATGGTGAAATAACACTGTCCTCAGGTAATTTTGGTTTTGGCAAAGAATTTTCTGTAAAAGAAAAAAATCACATTCAATATGACAAAAGCACTTATTTTCCTTAAAACCACATTTTCTCAAGTAAAATGGCTATGTAATAAAACACGTTTTTCCTTGCAAATCTTTAAACACTTTACCAGAACTCCACAGACCATCCTGGACCTTTTCAGTCTTGTTACCATAAATTTCCAATGGGCTCCTTTATAATTTGCTCCACTATGATAGCTAACATCCCAATTGTATCGTGGTGATGAATTTTAGCACTGTAAAAGCCCATAGAAAATTGAGAGGCAATTAACCTTTTCCATGTACAAGGTGATATATAGCAGGCATCGCTCTCTGGCTACCAGTGGGAAAGCTTAAAAAGTGCTCCCCAGCACTGAAACTAGGTCCCACTGTATTATAACCTTGGGTCAGACTATAATCAAAAGAACCAATGAGAAAGAAGCAGATGATTAGGAAGAAAACTGTTGTTTCACAGGGTACACTCTTCAAATTAACCCATTAATACCCATTAAAAATTAACAAAAATGAAAATAAAGAAAACTTGCCATGATATGAACTTTATGAATTTTATCCTTGCATATGAATCATTAAAAAAAAAAAAACTCAACCATGGAAAACAACTTCTTCCCTCTAGTAGCATATCTTGGCACTCTCTCCATGTTCCCCAGAGGCAAAGAATATTACCTAGACCAAGTATTATACGAGCTATTAGTTTATAGAATAGAAACTCATGACTTGCATTTTTCATTTACAGTGAAATTGATGATACTATCGCCGTAACATGATGTGCACAATTTCATAGCAAGCTTAACATAAAATTTGTCACGTACGTTCAATTCCACATGCCTGCAGGACAGCTCATTTACATTTCGTTGCTTGGCATATGAGAAGGAAAAGCTCTATCTTAGAGACTGGAAATAAAATGCATGAACAGGTAGTTTATGCCAATAGATTTTTAATGCAATGCAAATGCTGATCAAATTACCAATGATGATACATAATTAGTTTTACCCACATTTTATTAAAGTTCCCCAAATCGGTTGCTTCTTCACATTCTCTTCTTTCTTTCTTTGACAATCAAACTCTCATTCCAAATTTAGGTTGTTAAATTCAGTATCAGTATCAACAACCACCAACAGTTCTAGGCTTCCCTCATGAAATATCTGGCATAGCTACCTACTGGTAAAATCAGTGTTAATTCAATTCTGCCAAGCCTCTATTCTCTACTCTTTAGCTGGGATTTGATGAAAATTCTTATAGAATAATATAGGATCCAATCATCTACTACTCTCTTCCTCTTCTTACCCTATCCAACACTGTGGGGATGGAGGAAGGGTGAAAACTTTAAACACAACCCAGAAATAGAGCTTTCCTTTAGAATTCTCACCAAAAATGGAGGGGAGGAGCAATTACCAAACTAACCATGATTCTCTCTTACAGTTTGAAAATCTAAACCTTACATTTCACTTAAGAGAAAGCACCAGTCCCCAACAACTGATATATCAAAGGGCTCAGGAAACTAGGAGAAGTTAGCAAACATTGTCCCTGTCTATAAATTTGTGGGCAGGACCACAGCACTTAAGATCCCTAGTCCTTGTCTAGCTAGCTCTCCCACTGCTGGAAGGAGATTAAGCGGCATCTATTTTTGTTTTATGTTGCTCTTTTACATTCTGTGGCATTCTGCTTATGGGAAAGCACTACTGGGGATGTACATTTAAATCAACCATTGGCATAATCAACAAAATGAGTCCCAAAGCAACTTAATTCTGGCAGGTTGAGATAGTTAATCCTTCTTTGCATGAACAAAGGGACATTAAATGTCATTACCTTTGAGAACAGAAATGTGCTGCCGGCTCTCTCCATCTGTAGGGTAGCTCCTGAATTCAATATCTTCACCATCTTTCAATTCAACCTTATCATAGCCATACCAGCCAAGGAGTTCATTCATTGTGTTTTCTGCAAAGTTCTGAAAAAGAAGCATAGGCTACTTATTTATATAATCAATAACTATTTGAAAAGAATGCATAAAACAAATTCTGTTTGCACTACCCATTTGCTGCCAGCCCTGCCCCACCTCCCTTAGAGTTGTGTTCATTTTTCAAATCATGTTCAAAAATTGTAATGCATTTAAATCTCAGGATGACGCATTCAATTATGACAGGCCTTCAGACATTTGCATTTTAAAGATAATAAGAAAAAAGGTATTTGTCAGTTTTGCTTACGAATAGGAAGTCATATATTAGCATATTCTTCTGCAAAGTCTCTATACCACACTAACAGAAAAATATTGAAAGAGAAAGCACAAAAACAGCTAAGAAAATATTTTGAAAATGAAAACAATTAACTTTTTTGTGGCTCAGCTTAATTTTTTAAATTAGAATTGCTTTCTGATTCAGGTGTTGTTTCTTAACATGACTCTTATCACAGATAAAGCAAAAATTCAGCAAGGAAATAATTTCTCAATTGTCAACCACTACCATACACAAAGCTGAATAGGCTTCAAGGGTCTCCCTTTTTAATTTCCCCTTTTGCAAGAGTATTCTTTAAAAATCAAAGCATAATTTGCCTTACAAATTTCATTAGCAACAGATTCTTTCTCCATGAAATCAGAGGTCACTATGATTATCTTCTGACAAATAACACAGAAGTACCAAATATCTTTAAGGTTACCAGCCAGCCCCGATTGTGGATAACATGAAAACACATTATGAACTATAAATCAATATATAAACGTAAAGTATTATTATTGTTGTTATTATCGATATCAAACTGTGGAAATAATGGGTGTAGTTGGACAGATTTAAAGCTTTACTATCAGGTGACTATTTTTTATGAACTTAACAACTGCTAGATATTGAAACAAGATGTGACTGTGTATGTTAATGATCTTAATGCACCTTAAAGAACCTCTATCTGAGAAATAGAGAGTAGAGTGGTGGTTACCAGGGGTTGGAGGGTGGGGGAAATTGGGAGATATTAGTCAAAGGGTACATACTTCCAGTTATAAGATTAACAACTTTCGCGATCTAATGTACAACATGGTGATTATAGCTAATAATACTGTGTCATATACTTGAATGTTGCTGAGAGTGTAGATCTTAAATGTTCTTACCACAAAAAAGAAATGGTAACTGTGTGATGGGATGGAGGTGGTAGCTAACACTATGGTGATAACTATTTTGCAATACGTAAATGTATCAAATCAACACATTGTACACCTTAAACTTACACAATGTTATGTGTCAACTATATCTCAATAAAGCTGGAAAAAAATTTTAATTAAAAAAAGGACTCTATATTACAGAGTAAGGGCTTAATAAATGTTTGTTTAATGAGTTTTTTAAAAAGCATCTCTATCTGGCAAGGCAGCCTGAACCTCCTAGACTGGGCTAGAAAAACTATATTTTCTAGGGGCCGGCCCAGTGGCTTAATGGTTAAGTTCACGTGCTCCGCTTCAGCGGCCAGGGGGTTCACAGGCCCGCATCCCAGGCTCGGACCTAGCACTGCTTATCAAGCCACGCTGTGGCAGGCGACCCACATATAAGGTCGAGGAAGACGGGCACAGATGTTAGCCCAGGGCTGATCTTCCTCAGCAAAAAAAAGAGGAGGACTGGCAATGGATGTTACCTCAGGGCTAATCCTTCTCACCAAAAAAAAGCCAACTATATTTTCTAACCTTCTCTGTGACTCAAAGAATCTTTTCTCATTCTCCCTAGAAGGTGTCATTTCTGAATTACACTGGGATGTATAATTTATATAGATGAAACAAAGCACCGAGGCTAAACCAGAGTATGCACAGCCTCGACGTGTGAGTTCCATGTTCTCTTGAATTTCACAACTTTAGATTTCAGCAGGGGTTGCATAAAAAAGAAAAGATATTACTCTAGTGACTCCACAAAAACAAACCTGGCATTTCAAACCACCCACAGGATGCTAGAATTTTTTTGTTTCAGTACCCACTTAAGCTCAAAGTTCCAACTGGGTCGATCTGTGATGGTATAGCGCACAAGCAATTAAAAAAAAAAAATCCAACCAGATTGATTCAGTGTTACCATTCACAAGGCCAACAGTCAGCCATATCAAGCTTTAGTGAGGCATTTATTCTCTCTGATGGCTGGTCATGTCCACATTAAATAGACATTCTTTTCATGAATGCACAAAGATGATATGATCGATATACATAATAAGCTCAGCAACTTCTGGAATACCACTGAGGAGGACGCAGCTAAATGCTGCTCTACTCAATCAAAAGAGATCCCTTTAATGAGGAGTCAGTCTCCCCTAACACCCAATTTCTTTCACTGACCTGAGTGCCTGGACTGGAGAATTACAGTCCCTGAGCACACAAATCGAGGTCCTCCATCAGTGGGCTGGCAGCAGAAATCTCCAAGGATAAGGATTACACCTTGCATCAAAAAACCAATTCCCAACAGTGTTAATAGCCAAGTTCAAGCCACCCTATTGGTCTGTGTGCTGTTTGTCCCAATCTCTAAGAGAACTGTGCCAAGAAGACGGAAAATCTTTTGCATAGTAACTCCTGGACACCATATCCAATTTTCTAGACCGTTTGTGTCTGGGCGCCTCTCTCTCCGGTTCTTTCTAACCTCTGAAGTGACACAAAGGCTACAGATGCATAGTTCATGGAGAAACCTCCCAGCCAAGGATATAGATTTGTTTGTTTTAGTCCAGCTGCAAATCCATTCAGCCTTTCATAACCAGTCCCAGGGATGGGATCCAGAAGTTTCAGACATTTGGGTAAAAACTGAAACCTCAACTGGATTACTAACACCAAATTCATATTATTTGGGCATCCTAACTGCATCACTTAGTTTATGGTTTGTGCTGAAAATTCAGAGGCTTCACGGGACAATCAATAAGAACTTGATCTATTCCATGATTTTCGAGTTACTATAAATGTCAGCGAAAATAAACCTGAAAGCATTCCCTTTCTTGTCATTGAAAATAAAAATAAACACCTTAATGTTTTGATATATGATCACAAAAGTAGAAAACGAAAGGTTTATAAAGCCTCAAGCCATAAATCTCAAACTTTCATGAGAGGAAAAAGATGAAAGAAAGAGAAAACAAACACCAGAGTTTCTTATAATGTAACTACAAGAAATAGACTACTACCTCTGTCTTATACACTATTGTATTAAGAAATCAAAAAACCCCAAGGAATAAATAATTTAAAACTTTTAATTCCTGGGTAGAATTTGATGGTCGATATCATATAGGCTGGTTATGGTGCTAAACCGAAGGAAATGAAATAGATTTTTGAAGTTACCATCTAAGAGATATAACATATTCTAGGAGAAATGAATTAATGTTTATGGCCTATAAGGATTTTCAAGTCCTTCTGGTAAAGAATTCCAACAGCTATGTTTTCAACATTTTTTGTATCACTATCCTTAAAAAAAAAAGTGTTCTATTAGAAGAATTATTCCTTTCCTACATAAGTTTCTTAGTAAGTTATGTTTATTAAAATGGTGAAAAACTTAAGGTGGTAAGAGCTAAAATGTAGAGATTTTGAGGCACGGATGTCCAATAATAGGACAAGCTACTGTAGCAGGGATGTCGTAAAATTTGCTTCCCCCCAAATCTTCACCCAGCATCTGTCCTGGACACTTGGGGCGGGAAACCAAAGTCGAGTCTCTTCAAGCCCCTCCCAGCTCTAAGATCCTGTGAAATCAAAGAACTTCCACTTATATAAGAAATAACATACCTTTTGCAAAGAAATATCATAATTATAGTGATCATACATCATAAATTTTACTGAACAGCCACTATTTCAAATATTTTATCATTGTTCCCATAAACCATCAAAATGTGCCAGAAATTTCAATATTCTGGCATCTGAATTACATTTTGCAGACTGCCTCTCGCCCTTGGAAGTGGCACAAAAATCCTCTCTCATACCATGTGGTCCAATTTGGGTTTGGAAAATAGGTCACTATAATTATAATGATAATGTCTAACACTCTTATAGCACTTTATACTGTTTCCACATCCTTTAACTTCCCTGTTCCTTTCAATAACCCTATGAGTTAGGTATTTGATTTCCACAATAAACTTTTGGTGAACCCATGTGACATTCTTATTTTACAACAGAAAATTAGAGCATCCAGAAGGTGAATGACAGGCATGAGAGATCACCCAGCACAGTCAGAACGAAAATACAGATCTTCTGATTCATATACCAGGCTTCTTTCTATTATAAATTCTGCACAGTCCAATGTGTCAGCAATTCCAAAGAAGCTACCTCCTTGGACCAATCAAAAAGTCGAAAAAATACCATAGGATGTCAATATCACATATTGACATACCATAGGATGTCAATATCACATATAAAGAGGTTTCCAACCAAGGCATATCTACCTACCTATGTCATATCTACCTATGTCAAGACTTTGCTTGCTTTCAGATTTGATCACTGGCCTCTACTCTCCTTAACTATTTGTAGTGTTGGAATGGAGATTCTCAAAATTCACAATTAAAATTTAATCTTATTTTGACAATTTTTTGACATCACATCAGACTCTAATTGCTTTGCACTTCTAAAACTTTACCCCCATACTTCTTCCTCACCCTTTTCCAACTCCCATCTATCACCTCCAGTACTCCTAAGGAAAGAAGAAAATCCTAACATTTAGTCTGAAAGCATGATCTCTTCCTAGAATTTTTTTAAAAAAAGAAAGATGGTGGAAAGGCAGGAAATTTTACTATTTCCCCACTCCCCTGAGTTTTTTCTATACTGGAAAATTTTATTTTTGTTGGAACTTAGTTCCCAGGACATTCATTAGACACTCTCTTTATTCAACTGGAAGTACTATACAAATGTCAAAGTTCAACCTAAGTGATTTTTTTTTTTTTTTTTTTTTGCTGAGGAAGATTTGCCCTAAGCTAACATCTGTTGCCAATCTTCCTCTTCTTGCTTGAGGAAGATTCTCCGTGACCTAACATCTG